TTTTTTCCTTTTTTCCTTTAGATAGTTGTTATTCGTTTCCTTTTTTTCGTTCCTTTTTTTGGTTGTAAGCGTCTTCGGACGTCACAATAAAGCACACTCAAAAAAAAAAAAATATCTCTTATTTAAAATTTTGTCTCAATTGAACTTAAATCAATCGAGTTCTTTGAATGCTTGCTCGTTTAAGAATGTGATTCATTGGAAAACGAAGGTCTTCATTTCAAAAACGACGAATCATATCCTCTTAGGTCCTATCAAATTCAAAACGACTTCATGTATAACATAATCAACTCGATTTTTTATGTTAAATTTTTATTTTAAGTAGATCTTGTTATCGTTGTCGTCTTCGAAATCTAAGAAATAAAACGTATACCTGTGCTTTCATATGGCATGCATTCGATTACTTATTCTAAATAAAATTAAAAAATGCTTCAATCAAAACCAATGACATTTCTAATGAAAAATCAAGTAAGATGTAATCTATCGCAGACCTTCAGGCAAATAAGAACGAGAAATGCATGCGATCATTTCTAAAATAAAAAAGAATCTGAAGTCAAATCATTCTATAGGAGCATTAACTGCAGCTGGCAGTGCATACAATTGTAATTGGCTGTATCTAAAATCTACAGAAGGTACATCATGATAAATCGATTTTGGTTTGATTGAATTATTTCTATGTTCAATAGCTGACAACGCTCAACGTGTAGCCGAAACTGGTAATTGTCTCTGGTCCGAAATAGGTATGAAATCTATCCCTTGTTGCAACAAAATCACGTCGCATGCTCTTGAACGAATTGATTCTTAAAGTACTTGAATCTAGTCTTGATGTAGCCATTGTATTCACAAACACCGTTCTCGAAATATCTCTCTTCAATGTTACGTGCGTACTGATTCATTTCTACCATTCTGCTAGATGAATACAAAGCTTGGCAGTATTTGTTGTTCTCGGTTCGAATGTGCAAAACGATTCTTTTCTTCCTAATATCATATTCGCCGATCTACCCAATTCAATGAAGGTCCCACAACAGTTTATACATGAGGTAATAAAAATACAACAGCGTCCTATCAACCATGTATTATTTATTCACGTGTCTGTGCAGTCTGACAAAAGCACGCGTCATAAAACCAAGCGTTTAGGCAGCGGAGGCGTTCTTGCTTGCTATCAAATGAAATACAGTCACAGTTCATCAATTTTTATTTTGCTCGTTTTGTCTTGCTGAGCTTTTTTTCTATGTAATGAAAAACCATGTAGATGTATAAAAATATGCGTGCATGCGGTCCGATTGCTCTCACTCATTCGGCAACTAACAAACATTCGTTCCTTATTTCATTGATCTACAACATGTGAGGAGTTGGCTATAATCCTGTGCAAGAATACAGATCAGAGATGTGGATCCAGCAGAATGTGCCCGGCAGACTGAACAGTAAGTAGTTCATAATTTCAGTAGCATCTTGAAAGATTGTATGAGCTTCTTAACAGTCAACTCGCAATTTCCTTTTTTCCTTTCATATGCACAAGTATGCAATATTCTCGTTAGTTTGTATAATGTGAAAAATGTTCAGGTATCTTGAAAAATTTTAGAGATGTACTTTTCACAGAACAGTATTTGTATACGATAGGCTTTTGGAAAGATCTTTGATTCTAACTTTTAACAATTGCATCAGATTTGAACTTGTTCAGAACGTTTAAAGGTGAATCACTGGTTGTTTTTCTTTCAGAGAATTGCCGGAAGTAACAGAGCGTCACAGAAGGATGGTACGAAATAAAATTACTGCAACTTATTATCTATTGAGAAAATTTACAGCAACGTAACGAAAAATGCGATTGCCAAAGACTGCCTCTTTTTGCGGCACAACAGTAAAGGAATTTTTCCAAATATCTTGATTTTATGATAATACAAAGAAATCTGTTTTCTATATAACAGTTGATATAGTCTAGAGAGTATCTTCTAATAGCGAAGTTTTGTTTAAATACTTCGCGTACGAAAAAGAAAAACTTTGGAGACGTGTTACAACATAACCAGATGTTATGGACTGGTCTGAATTATGATCTTTTACATTGATTTCAAAAGGAGAAAATCACTAATGTATGCCAGAACATCTTATGCAGAACAGTGATACCTCAATAAACTAAAGTTCAATGAAACTCAACATTTACTATTTTTATTTAGGTCCCTTAGGTCAACAGTTGGATAACATAACGAGCGGTAATCCAAACCCGACCTATCGCCAAATGATGGGAGGTCTGTATGGCCAAGGATTTCCTCCTCCTCCTCCTCATCCTCATCATCATTATAATTACGGTGTTGGTCCTATGGGTGGTTATGGTGCTGGTTATGGCTATAGTTATTATTGGGGCGGGTAATTTGAGTAGTGCAAGACGAATCCAACGATACAAGTTCAAATTCTACATTTTCTTTCTGTACCAATATATTTAAAACTGTAGCATATTAACGCTGAATAATAAAGACATTTCTTTAGGAAAAAATAAATGTTGTCAGCAACTTTTCAAAAAAATGAAGAATAATTAGCTAGAAAATCGGAAATGTATATCAAGACTTTCGCAAATGCTGAACATCGAGTGAAGCACAGCACTAACGTTCAATATGCGATATTGATATCTATAAATATGTCGACCAAACACTGCTGCAAGGGTACCAAAGGCAACAAATTGTGAAGAGTATTTCATAATTCAATAGATACTGTTTGCTTACTTTTAAAGTATTCGAAAGCACCATCATTGAAGAGATGTTATGAAAGTGTTCAGAAACATTCTTACTGACTTTTGATCTCTTACTATGTGATGCCATCCAATGATATAACGATATTTCTGAAAAAACGTGGATGTCGTGAGATTTCTCAGGAATATGGATTCACTAGATAATCAAATGTGATAGCATGAAAATCCTTGATTAGTATGGCAAAATAGGTTATCAATGGTCAGTGACGATGATGTTTCAGAATACAAATTAGTGTAAATTTTCTGAATTCTTATCTCATTCTGATAGATTTCTATTGATCGAGTTATGTCCTCACGAAAGGATAGGAAATGGAAATGTACTCAATTCTTACTGAAGTGAAACTGAATTTGTACGTGAATTGTCAGTTCTCAGTACTCTACGAGCAGATATCAAGATTCTTACCTTTTGATTTTTTTTTCATTACTTTGCAATTTAGTGTTAGTAACGCGTGTGCTTTCTCATCTAATAATTTGCAAGTCCTGACAACAAACGATGAATAATTCAAAAGAATACTTACTTGACGCCACATCAAGCTCTCTCACAATTCATCGATTTTCTCTCTGCTGTACTTTCTTCTCACAAGAACGAATTATACAGATATGTCGAATTGGGTAGGAAATATTCGACATATTTGTAATTTTTAGGTTTGCTAAAATTACAGATTGAGCAATAGACCATGTTTCCTTGTTGTTAATAACGAATCTCATAGATCACTTATTTTGAGATAAGTTGTGTCGTCAATGCAACGCGTTGCCTTTGATGAAAGATTTGCAATGGTTGAACTTTTAGAGATATAGTTGGAGACTTCCAAGGATAATCGGCCAGAAAAATGTAAGTCTCATAAATGTTTTATTCTTTTACACTTTGTAGAGCTCTCTTTGTTGATTATTCTAATAAAAAAGACTTTGCATTAGATCAATAAATAACTATGCTGTGGTTCAAATACTGAAAATTTCAAACTTCTTCACTGATAGAACTAAGATATTTATGAGTTTTTAGACTCTAACATCAGTATTTATTGATCTAATTCAAAATCTGTTTTTTTATTAGAATGATCAACGAAGAGCGCTGTACAAAATGCAGAAGACCAAAACATTTATGAAACGTATACATTAATAGTCAACTATCCTTGGAAGTCTTCAATTATATCATTAAAATTTTGAAATCTTGCATAATTCTATAGCATAAAGGGGTGACACATTAGAAGACCTTGCTGAAAAAAGGCTCATTTTTCGAAAATTTATGCAGTTCCTTCAATAACTAGAGCGCGCTTTGTTTTGTGATTGTGGGATCAGAAGAAAAGACAAAATCAATACTGTCAATTACAATATATAAGCGAAAAAAAGAGCAGAAAATGAAAGGGATCGTTGACTGCGCCGAAAGTAGTAACTCCATGTAGGGACATAATAGGAGAGCCGGGTCTTTTAACGTATCCTCTTTATATTCACTTATGAATGACCAGTTATATTCGTAGATTCCGTTTCATACGAGCTTTCATTTAGTATAAAATTCAATGTTGATATCATGTGTCGGCTGGTATCTTGAACGATTTTTTTATCAACGGCGGCAGCGACTCAGTCGATCGGCTTACATCTCTAACTGTAGGACAAGAAGAAAAATAAACTTTCGTTCTATCGTGCCTTGCAGTAACACGTGACAGGATAGAAAAAAAATGTTTCTCGTATATATCTGGTAATATCGTTTTGTGACCACATTATTTCTTCTAAGGACAATCAGAGAGGTTATTGCAAATTTTAACGAATTGCAAGAAAATTTTTTCAAACGCTAAAGTGTATATTGCTTACACCGCTGTTTGTCTATTATAGACTTGGCATAAAGACAGAATTAATTTCAGGATCAATATAGAATCGGGAAATCTAATAAAATAAAAGGCTACCATTGATATTGGTTCTAAGTCATTTGTAGAATGCCTGACTTTACCTCAAAATGGAGCTTCTACCGAGCTAAGAACTTGAATTGAAATGGAAAAATATTTTTCAATTAAAACAACTCATATTTTGAAAAACAGTCAAAGCATTCTGTTGCTGCTGCGTCATAGCTTGTAGTCGCCTGTAATCCATCTCACTTATGTTTGAGACAAATTCTAGCGATTGATAAAACTGCATCAAAAATTTTGTCGTCTCAAATCATCGCTCTGATGACGCAAGATTCTTTCGAGTTTGGCAATGAATAAGTTAAGCATTTCGATGGTGCCCAAATGGATGCTAGTATTCAATAACCAGTGAAGTAGTTCATCCTGACGAAAGTGAATCAGTATGTCATAGAGCAACGATTGTTTAGGTATAAAGGAAAGATATTTGTCGACAATTGAATAAAGTCAAAGAAGAAACCCTCAACGCTATTAAAGAGTTTAAAGATTCTGCTTGAAATCAACATGTATTAAATGAACAAAACAATCTATAAATAAAACAGAACCATTGTGATGCTGCTTTGTTCTACACGAAAGACTGCTGTATTGGTAGTGTTTTGAATTTTTTACATAAGATTTTTGTTGATGCAAATAAAGGGTTCTTTCCACTCTGTTGACGCTTTACTGAAAACAGTGCAAAGTCATCTCCACTGACATCCATATCTCTACACAAGGGAAAACATACTGGTTCCTTCAATTAGAAATGTACTTTTGTGTCAATATAGCATGATCGATCAGCTCGCGATTACCTTTGATATGTAGATGATAATAGCTTTTTTCTCCTCTTCATCTCATCCTGTTTATTGTTTGTCCTGTATGACTGAGTCTAAGGCGCTGCACGGCAGTCCACACCCACACCCACACCCTCCCGATTTGAATTGTATTGATGTTAGCTTTGATGATGATGTTGTCGGTAATGACCAATCGAAGTTAATCGATCATCAATGCTCAAAGAAGACGTGCTTAATGGTAAGCATTAGAAATATTGATAGGTCTACTATGTGTTGATAGAACAAATATCATTATCACTACGAAAAATAAAAGTTCTCAACATTCAAATGCTTTCATTTGATGGAAAACCATGTCTCTTCGATGCCCATTGAATCGATTGTCCATATAATTTAAGTGTATGCATATTTTGTTCTCCGATGAGAATGTCGTATGAACCTGGATGAAGCCATTTGGTACCATCTCGTGCAATTGTTAATAAATGTCGAACAGTTAATGGAAAAAAGACTTCTTTGGTTTGATTAACAGCCAAACTGACACGTTCAAAGCTAAACAATTGTTTGATTGGTGATATTTCTCCATTCATTGTTGCATTACGTGATCTAACAAATGCTAAGACAACATCATCACCTGACATATCACCAGTATTGGTCACATCGACTCGAAACAGTCGAACGAGAACTCGATGCTCATCATAGGTTTTTTTTATCAATGACAAAATCGAATACGATGACGAAATACTAGTATCATTACTCCATGAATAAAGAAATGTCGTATAGGAAAGACCACTTCCAAATTCGTATACTGCTTTGCCAGTATAAAATTTGTAGGTTCGACCAGGATTTGTACTCGATGGTCTCATCTGCATATCAAACATACTTACATCGTCGACATAGGATGCTGGATACATAGTAATTGGTAAACGTCCACCAGGATTATATTGGCCAAAAATAACGTTACTTATTGCTAAACCACCTGATTGTCCGGCATAACCCATCCATATGAGACTGCCAAATTGAGATGAATCACGAATGTAAGTTAGATCTAAACCACTACCAGACATAATTACAACATGAATAGGTGAACGGACGACTGTTTCAAGTTGGTGTATAAGAGCCCATTGTATATCAGGTATAGTAATCGATGTACGATCAAAACTTTCACCTTCAATCGATTGATCTAGTCCCCCAAAGAATATAATAATGTCGGCCGATCTAGCTAATTCAATAGCCGCTGAAAAACCACTGTCATCAGGATCCTTTATTTTACAACCGTATGCAAATTCAACATCAATCAATTTACCTTAAATTAATGTGCAATAAAACGAGCTTTTTTTCTCAATAAAATACCTGTTGTCATTGCTTTGATTGCTGTTACTGGATCAATAAGAAATGGAGCTTTACCGAAATAACTTCCTTGCATTAATTCTGTTGCATTTGCCGTCGGCCCAATCAGTGCAATTTTTTTGTTTATTAATTGATCAATATGTAATGGCAGTGATCGATTAATATTCTTCAATAAAACAATACTTTCTTGAGCGCTTTCTAATGAAAGTTTTCGTGATTGAGGTGTATCGACATCGGCTTTTGTCAACTGTCGATAAAATTGTTGTTCAGGTGGATCAAACCAGCCGAGTCGAATTAAAACATTGAATGTACGTTCAAGGGCACGATCAATATCTGCTTCAACGATAGTTTTGTTATTGAGTGCCTCTTTTGTATGTTTTAAATAGAAATCACCACAATTGAGATCTGTACCGGCATAAAGAGCTACAGCAACTGTATCCTGTACAGTCGATGTATAATGATGCGTGTCCATAATGGTTGCAATGGCTCCACAATCGCTAACTACGAAACCGTCGAGATGAAATGATTCTCTAAGAACAAATACGTTTGACTTTAAAAACAAGCAACGACTTGCAGACTTTACCGTGCAAGTATTTCAATTTCAAATTGATTAGCACAACTCGGTATGCCATTAATTGAATTGTAACTACACATGATACTTGCAACATGAGCATCACGAATACATCTTTCGAATGGTGGTAAAAATGTTTCGACTAGATCTTGGTCGCTTATTTTTGCGTCAAAATGAAAACGGTCAGTACCATTCCAATTTTCTAAATCGTATGCGTTATATGCTTTACAATCAGCTGCTATTTTCAAATAGCGTTCATCTTCACCACGTTGTAAACCTTGAACCAATGCATAGACATATTCAGATGTAAGAAATGGATCTTCTCCAGGTGTTTCTTGACCACGACCCCATCGTGGATCTCGAAAAATGTTAACGGTTGGTGTAAAGAAATTGAGACCTGCTCGATTTTCGTTATTGAATGCACGTGCTTCTGTTGATATAACAGTAGCTATATGATAGACAAGACGCATATTAAACGAAGCTCCAAGATTGATCGGCATTGGAAAAGAAGTAGCTGCTGGTAGATCTCCGCCAAATGAAACACCAGGTGAATAGGCTAAGCCATGTAAAGCTTCCGACCACCATTCATACTTGGGTAGACCGAGACGAGGTATAGCAGCAGCTGTCGTAACCATTTGTGTAATCTTTTCATCTATTGTCATACGACTGACCAAGTCAGCAGCTCGTTGTTGAGCAGGAAGTGCTTGATTACAAACAGGAAATGTTGAAAGTGGTCCCGATTTACAATCGGGAAAATTGCCAGACTGGCCATGAACAGAAATTATCACAGTGCACAGCAGTTTCACAAGAATATGCATGATATCTGCAAGGAAAAATATTCTTATCTCCTTTTAATGAAACGCTGGGTAGAGTTGCATAAGATAATGAATGTAGCAACACCTTTATATGTCGTTTTAAAGATATTTGTGCAACCGCGCATTGTTGCGTTCTGTTGATACGTTTTTTCGTGATATCCAGGTTAGTTCTGATAATTGAAACAGTAATAGATTAATATTATAAAATGATTTTCTGGTACTTTTGTAAATGTTTACTCATTAACAGCGAAAATAATTCGGTTGCAACAATTTTACGAACTTTATAGAACTACTTTAAGGTGTTATTCTGTTACTGTTTCACATTGTTACATTTATTGTTTTAAATTATTTTTATGACACATTTCTTTGTTCTTCTCAAAATCTCATTATCTACTATCGTGTTTGACGCCTCAGAATGACATGCAATCGATTACTATCACCACTACTCTGCTGATGATAGATCTTATTCATGCATCTGATTTACGAGAAAAGATCTTACTACTATTTACAAATATATTTTTCAGCAGTCTCGAAGTTATATCGCACATGCGTATGCTCTCGTATATTGTGGTAGACTCTATGACATATTTTTGTTTTTGGATAGATACGTTTATTATAAATTAAACTGAGGTGTGCACGGACTCTGGCTTTGATTTGATAGAATATATCCAGGGAGGCAAGAAGCAGAACATAAGAAATGATTGAAGCTTTCAACGTATTGGAGGGCTTCACTATATTAGAAGACCCTATCTAACAATTGGGTGGACATGGGCATACCAGTCCATGTTACTTACACTCTCACACACCCACAAGAGCAAAAGCATTTCTTTTCGACAGCGACGCAAACGTTTTTAAAAGATCACTAACGTGTATTCAACTACTCTTTTTCTATATATCTCTTCTTCGTGGACAATTGTATTCATTAAATTGAGCTATGGGTTAACAACCAAGCTCGTAGTACATTTCAATATGCATGGGTTCTATCTACAATAACCAAAGATCGATATAAACTTGTAGATTCAAAAACTTTCATTGAGAAAACTTTAATTTTTTTCCTTTCACTCAGTTTAGCAATAAGAAGCGATAAATGTTGCGAGTGATCTATCTTATTCTTTGGAAAAAGTAGTACTATTATAAATCGTACCAAGCTTTTAGTGTGTCGTTTATCAGCATCCATGATCGTATACGATCTCAAAATGTTCATTTTTTGAAATTTGTAGCTGAAGCAGGTAATACGATCAAAGAAATCAAGGGGAAGACAAGATATCTTCAGAATAGACTTGTAGATACTGCATTCTAAAAAAATGAAGACACACGGTACTACTTCTGATTATAATGATACTTTTAATCAATGAACTTGAAAAAACATAAAGCAATATATCCATTTCATCATCAGAAATGCCAGTTTTTGACATAAAATTCACAAGTCATAAATTTTAAAAATATTTTCAAGTCACTGGTTGACGTGTTCTAATATCACCTGATTGGACCATTTACACTAATGCAAACGATCGTCTAATATCTGTCTTTTCTAAACGCTTCAACTAATCTATGACCTACTACCTCTAGAATAGATTTGCTTCTATGTGAACATTAAATATTAGTGAAAATATTTTCGACATGGTAATTTTTTTATTTTCACAGATCTCACTTTTTTGTCAATTTTCACTCTAAGAAAAAAAATATGACAAAACTTTTTGTTAAGTTCTTGTTCTACTTCTTGAGTTAAAATTTAAACAGAAGTGAAATCTATAGAAAAAAATTATCTTATCGAAAATATTTTCACTAATACTTAATGGTTACATAGAAGTAAATCTGCTCTAGTATTAGTAAGTTTTAGGTTAACTGAAGCGTCTGAAAACTAACGTTAGGACAAGTCTGCAAGTAGAAATTGAAAAGAACCTTTATGAGAAGAGAATTTTTAAAAATTTTGAAGTTAAAAATCAGATAAATATTTAAGATCTGTCTCATTCTCTATTGTGTATCGAGTCAAGTCTTGTTGCTCAGTCTAATTTTAATTAGTTTCGCATCATACTTTACTTCTAAATGTTCTTTAAGAATATTATAGTTATGACATATACTTCTACCAAGGTAATATCGACAATATTAATATATTATCTAGAAAACAAATAAATGACAAAACTTTATATCAGAGATTAATAAACAGTAACTTATTTAGTTTCATTTATATAGTTATAAATTCAATGGAGACCAGGGCTCGAAACCGGCCACTGATTTGTGGCCCGATCGGGCCCAAAGCGGCCCGAAAGTTTTGCAGGCCCGCCCGGCCCAACTCGTAATGGCTACGGCCAGACCCAGGCCCAACGCAGCATTTTTTTTAAGAAACATTTTATCCAGAAATTGATTTTAAAGATCAACACCACGCTTCGAAAGAAAATTTTGTATAGCACACCATAGATTAATTTATGAATTTAATGACATCAGATCATTGAAATGATAACATAAAGATAAATTAATAAGTACAACGATCATAAGAAAATATATCAATAGATTGTGCATATTAAAGAGCTGTTGGTTTACTGTGCTGTCTAATAATATTTCGATAGCAATGACTATAACAAAATTTTTTGACCATTACTCGATCTGATGACACATCAAATTTTATAGACGAAAAAAAATAGAATTTTGTCGGGCCGGTCCGGCCCGACCAAAAAGTTCCTTCGGGCCGGGCGGCCCGTTTCGAGCCCTGATAAGCTCTTTTCTGAGAGTACCAACAATTGAAGACGAGAGAATTATTCATTAAGACATTGTTTTTTAATATTGTTTGGTCAATATCTCCCTCAAATCTCCTCATATAGAGTTGAAAATCTAATCATAGTTTCGGTATGTCTTAACAGTTTCATATCATTTGACTATATCTGGGTTGAGATCGTTTTTAGATTGATGGAAGAGAGGCAGGCTTAAATAAAAGAAAGGTGAGATAATTTGTCGTATACCTTTTTTATAATGTGTGCGGTTAGAATTGAAAAAAAAGTATTGACCACTCTATACACACTTTGTCGAAATTCATCAACGATTACAATTCATTATTTGAGCTTATTCTTATGGAAAAAAAATATCTGAATGGTCCTTTATCACAAAAAGAAATTGACCCTATAGAATGGAATAGAGATGCAGATATTCAAATATTTTATTGTTTTTCTATTTATGGACCTTAAGAAAAATACAACACACTAGGAAATATCCCAGAGGTGAAAGATGACTGCTGGACGATACTCATTTATTTGATGAATTATACAGCTCAGCAGTGTCTGTGGTACTGGATTCAACTGAACTACCAACAACTAATACATTTCCATTTGTTAATACAGTTGCTGTGTGAGACCATCGAAGATAATGCATGCTACTAGTTGTTGTCCATGTTCCTGTAGATGGATCATATAACTCAGCACTTTTTAAACCACTAGCATAAATACCACTATTGCTTCCTCCAGAAACTAATACTTTTCCATTCGGTAGCACGGATGCTGTGTGCATACCTCGTGCATGATGCATGCTGCCAGTAGTTGTCCAAGTTTCTGTTGATGGATCAAATAGAGCAGCAGTTTTTATAGCAACACGATCTTCATTAAATCCACCAGTAACTAACAGTTTTCCATTTCTTAATAAGGATGCTGTGTGAAGTCGGCCTACATGTTTTATGCTACGAATAGTTTTCCATCTTCCTGTCGATGGATCATATAATTCGCTACTTTTTAGGAAAATCTCGCCAGTGTTGAATCCACAACTAACTAACACCTTTCCATTCGGTAATACAGAAGCTGTATGCTGGTATCGACCAACATGCATACCGCCAGTAATTGTCCATTTTCCAGTTGATGGATCATATAATTCGCAGCTATTATGACAACCAAAATCAGCCATTCCACCGACAACTAGTACTTTTCCATTTGGTAATAAGGACGCTGTATGCTGATATCGTACATAATGCATACTACCAGTAGTTGTCCATTTTCCTGTTCGTGGATCATACAACTCAGCACTTTTTAAATAACCAAATTGGTCATCATGTCCTCCAATAACTAACACTTTACCATTCATTAGTACCACTGCTGTGTGTAGATATCGTGCATCTTTCATTCTACTAGCCATCGTCCAATTTCCTGTTGATGGATGGTACAATTCTGTAGTGTTTGAAAAATCTCCACTAGTTCCACCAGTAACTAACACTTTTCCATTATGAAGTAAGGATGCTGTGTGCCAGAATCGTTCGCGATGCATAAAACCAGTGACAGACCATGCTAGGTAGAGACATTTAGGGTGTGGGTGTGGGTGAGGGTGATCTAATATAACTATATGAGTAAAATTGAAACATTCAACTGCATGTATCAAAAGGACGTAGAAGTACTCGAGCAAGACTTTTCAGCTCAAAAAGAATTCTCTGATTTCTGAAAAAAAAACTCTTAGAAAATTCGTAGCTTTTCGTTATGCCTTGTGATATTTTTCTTGTAGATAGCCTTACATTCTAGGGATACGTTCATTATATCAAATGATCTGCAAGGTCAGTAGCTTATTGTTTATGCTACTCTACTTACAAATATTACGGTGTTCCCATCTGTATGAATTGCACAACACCTGAAATACAAGATTGACCCTTGAATGCTTTCTGAATATTTCTATCACAGAATACGCTTCAAGATCCTTCAAACCGACGCAGTTTTTGAAAAAATACTTTCATTCCTATTTACTAGAAAGAGAGACCGGTATTTTCGTCTCGAATCGAAGTTTACTTTGTCGATCCTCGTAAAATCGCCTTGTTTTTTGTGAATAGTTGGTGTGCTTCACAGCGCTCAGTGGTGTGCATTTTTATGAAAATTAACGAAGCCAATTTCGACTCGAACCGAAAAGGCGCCAGAATTTTGAACCGGACTAGATAGCAAGAGGAACGAAACAGAATACTTCAGATTGTGCATCATAAGAAATCGCACCGAGTTGATATGATTTGTGTGTGTCGGAATTGTTTTTGTTCCTTTACAAAGAACGATCCAAAGTATCACGTGGACCAGATCTTGTTCGCATTTGGATATGTGACTAGAAACGATATTTGTACAATTTTTGGAGAACTTGTTAATGGAAACGACCAGTTTACTGTATTAGTTATAAAGGGACAGTAAAAACCTGAGTTAGAAGAAGAAAAATGAATGTTTTTGAAAAGTGGTGCTTTCAACTAGTAAAACTAATTTAATTATTCAGTCAGTTTCTGGCAGTTTGTAAAATTCCTTGAATCGATTGAAGACGATTAAAAATGTACCTAACTCGATCGAGCTTTCGACTCATCTTGAAAGTAGTAATTTTTAGTTAAGTTGTAAAAATACAAATGATGAAGTATAGGATACAAAAATTGAAAAACGGCAGACATTCTAAATACAGGTAACCCTATTCGAAAATATTCAGATTCGAACTGTTTACTAGCGCATTTTTTGTTAGGTCTCATACGTATTGAACGAATAGGACAAGCAGGGTCACTGGCGTTTTGTGACAGAACGAAGAAAGGAATGACCTTCGTGGGACTTGAACTTATACTTCGTACGATTCGGGCAGTTGTCCTAAGCCAATCAGACTAGAAGGTGCATCTTAACTCATTAAACGAATATGGAGCTATCACATATCTAAGTGTCATCCATCACTAACGCTCACATTTATGTTCTATAATTGCCGACAAATATCATATAGAATACACACGAATGCTAATCGACCAAATATATGTGATTTAAAAGAATCAATTTAAAAGGTTGAGAACATCGCGCTTAGACCTACCTGATTCATTGGCTGGTGTTGATGTTGCATGAACAGCAGCGATTTCTGGTTTTGTCGAAATAATAATTGCCAATGTAGATAATACCAGAGTGAGTGACACTAAAAAGCATTGTACAGCGGAAAACAAGTAACTGAGAATTCCAACCAAATGCCAAGGAGAAAATAACAACGATCTCAATCTTAAAGTCTTATGAAGTCTGTGAGATCCTGTAAAACATTATTTACAATGGAACGATGACATACTGACCTAGATATTTCTAAAGTGCACTCCTAGAGTCCATTTGGATCCCAGGTGAATTAGAGAAGCTTGAAAATGTGTGTGATTCTACTGCTAGATCAACAATGAAAGAATTAAATCATTTAATATTATTAGAACATCCGAGGAAGATTTGTCACAGCATAGAATCAAACAGTGCAACCAAAACATACTACTTTGATCGCGCAAGTCGATATCATCTCTATCATTATCATAGTGTTATCCCATCTTCAACATTATAGTCTATGCATATATATGTAGATCAGCTTATCATCACTATTGACTTTCAAATGCAGTCCTTATTTTCAGTAGTCTACTTACTGCACATTGGTTTGTTATACATCTTATGATTCATAAAAACTTCATTTCAAAAAAGAACGAGCTATTTGATGTTCGACCTACTTTACATTTGTCTGAAACTCTTATATGGGTCACAAAAGATAAGTAATACTTTCTCTAGCAGAAGAAACCTATTACAACTCTATGGTGCACATGTAAGTTTTCTTATAGCTGATGTTCTTATCTAATGTTATTTTTCTATTCAGCATACATCACATTGCAAGCAAATGCCGTCTTTATCATGTGTTATAATCACGATTATATTTATTCATATAATTCTTACACAAAAAAAGGGTATGGGTGGGTGTGGGTGTGAGTATGGGTGTGGTGTGGGTGTCAGAGGATGGTAGTACGACACCCACATGCACAAACCACACACCCATGCCCACACCACACACCCATGCCCACACCCCACACCCACATCCACACCCACACACACACCCTGGCATATAACCGTCGATAATGATTAATTCTGACAGTTAAAAATCGCTAGAATAGCATATGGTTCAATCGAATCTTAAGGAAGTATTCTGACCTGGAAGTATGTCAGTTGAAGTGTACGGAAAGATCAACACAACGATCGCTTGAGGCTGAATGCGATTAAAATGGAAGCAAAATATTAGATCATCAATGGCAATAAAATCTTTATGATGATGTCTATAGTTGCTCATGAATAAAGTTGCGACATACCAAGATATCTATCATTGCTATCTTGCTTCAGCAGTCGATGGACTCTACGAAGTAGCTATTTACGCCAAGTTAGACACAGAGAATACCTATCATGATGCTTTTCACATGCGATTGAATGTGTCAAACATTATACAGGCCATCACTTTTCCAACTGTTTATTTATCTTTTCGACAGTACAACTGTATTTTAATTAAACCTTTGAATCGACTTGTCCACGCGAACGAAGGTGTGCTTATTCACATGATTATCCCCAATGCAAATATGGTACAAATTAAGGTTGGAGTTGATATCATTATACCCAACAAGGACGAGTCTAATGGTGAAGTGTTAAAGAAAGAAGTTCTCGTACAGGAGGACATTGTTGTGTGTGCTCGTTGGGATGACAAAGTTGACTCGATCTCGACCGTCTGTGCTTTCAACATGATTCGTAATCTATAGACATTGTTTCTGCGACATACACGCTGATTGATTGTTCTTTGTGGCTGTTGTTTGATTGATTCAATCAGAAATTTACTGCGTGCGTCATCATAGATTGTAGTGAATACTGATTTTTTTCGTGTGGCTACGGATGTGGGTGAGGGCGGGGATGCGGGTGGGTGTGGAGGTACGGCGTGTGGGACTAGTGTGGGTGTCGGCACCAGTGTGAGTGTTTCTGTTTCTCCACACCCACACCCATAAATAGTAATATAGTATCCTCTAGTGTATTGACTGAGCTGTTGGAAATTTCACACAATCTTGATTCATTGATAATTTCATATTCGAGTCGATTATTAGAATCGCATGAATGCAGTCAAAAATCAAAACATCATAATTTATCGACTACTACGAATGTTACAAATATCAATATGTGTCATGTGACAAAAATCGAACAAGTTCATTTTATTCTGAAGTTTTGTCCTCATATACAACATTTACAAATAGAATGCACAAATAATATTGAACTATCGTTACTCGTTCGATTTATTGTTATTGAAAAAATGCATATATTAACGATCTTGTTTCATTATGTTTATGGATATGTAAAGTAAATGATGACATGATACAAATATTACAGACAATAATTGATGATGAACAAATACTTCATCAGTATAGACTTGAATGTATAAAAGATAAAATTTATTTACAGTTGAATGTACTGGAACTCATTTTCATTGTTTTTGTTTAGATGTTGATTTAATTGTTTCAAACGAGAATGAGTTAATAATAACTAACAAGATTTGTTGAGAAAAAAGACATGTTCTATTTAGATTTTGAGGGTGTGGGTGATGTGGGTGTGGAGTGTATGTGTGCGTGTGTATGTGGGTGTGGATGAGGAGTAGATTCTTGTCTACACCCATACTCACAGCCAGATCCACATCCTCACCTATAACTACACCTTGTTCCAATATGGTGAAATCGGTTGCACTTATTTTACAAAAACTTTCCAGAATTTTAAATTATATCGCAGCATAAAGCAAATCCAAATGAATAATTGAAATGTAATGATTCTTGTTATACTTGATTTTGGTCAATAGCAGGTCGCTTTACAATATTTAAATCTTAATACATTCGATGCGATGGAACCTACTATATTTTAACAAGAAATTTCATATTAAAACATTTTCTTTTCCTTCTCTCTTGGGGACGAGATAACACACATAATGTGTCATTTGCTCTGCCTAGCTTTTGTTGGAATTATTTATTGCAATGGCATGATGCTTCTAGCTAATATATTCAAAAAGAAAAACTAATTGTCGTAATCAGAACAGAAGCTTTCTATTGTCTTTGCTGTGATATCAGTAGTTTCTCTTCGTTGCTATCCCTTGCTTTTCTTATAGCAACTAACACTAAGTCCTTGGAAGATGCGTGTAAGTCCTCCTTTTTCTCGAGTGTATGATCAACGAANTGATACTGTGCACAGCAGTGTACTACCAATGTTTGTAAAGCAATATTTTCATCCTCATCAATAGCAAACAACTTAGCATGTGCTCGAACCAAATCAACATTTATTGCTCTAAATGTTCTAGCACCATTTTTTACTTATACTTTACTTGATGATTTAAAACAATCATTTTATTACTCTGTAATGCATGATGCAAATAACAAAGGAAATATCAAAATGTTTCCATTTTGCGTTCAGTTTTTATTACTAACTGTTTAATAACTGGTGTAAAAAAAGGTATATTTCTCTGCTACTTTCATTTGTTTCTCGTTCACATCTTCTTATCGTTGTAAGTCTTGTAGACTTAATAGATGATGCTGAAGAAACAGCCTTCAAAAATTTTTCAAATGCACGTAAAGTAATTACGGATAATGATTTAGATATTAACAGATTAACAGCTTTAGGTTCTGATAATACAAATGTAAACGTTGGTGAAAAACATTCTGTTTTTACTTTGTTTAGTGATGAACTACCTTGTATAATAAAAGGTAAAAGACATGATTATTTAAATAAATCAGGATATTTGCTATTTATCATCTTGTTTTCTTAATATTAAGAAGGAGTGGTAATTAGCATTTATGTATAATACACAAAAGAGAACAAGATGAGAATGAAAGTAGAAAAGCATGAAAGGAAGAGTGTGAGCATAAAACATTTATCACCCGGACATGATGGTATGCCAGTAAAGAAAAAGAAGAGTAACATGTTAGCTAGTGTGTCATGTTCACCCTTTTTTCAAGGACTTTTGTGGTTTGAAATGATATCAGAAATAAAATGAAAAGGTTTCAGTGCTTCTTGGACTGATGAACAACAAAAGGAAGCGTTATTAATAAGATTTAATGTAACTTTTAACTCAGAACACGTCGGATGAGCAATGTACGAAATTGAAAAAAATTTCATCCTTTAATAGTTTACTATTTTTTTAGGAAGGGGATCATTTATCGTTTCATTGCCTGTTTTTATATATATATTGAAAATTCGATATCTCACGAATAAAGGCGCGAGGGAATGAATCCTTTTTAGGTTTTTCATACCTCATCGAGTTCTACTTATGGTCAGAAGATGGGCTCTAAAACGCTTGAACGTCTAAATATGTTACCTCGTTAGTTTATCTTCTATCGCTGACATTCGTATGAGAATTACAACCTTTCTAAATATGAAAAAATTGGTTGATATAAAACAATATTCATTAATAAGAAACGATTTCCGTTTTTCTTCAAGTAATTTTTTCATTTCTAGAAATCATTTTGGAAGATTTTTCTAGATAACTGATCAAACTGTTTATAGTTTTAGAATCATTATGAGAATAAGAAATAATAATTACACTTTTTTTTATATAAGTTGACAATGTATCAAACGTTTTCGTGAGAAAATATACATAATGGATTTTGCTCATACATTTCTTTTATAATAACTCTGAATGAAAACAGCATTTTCTGGTACTTCAATGGAACGAAATTAAATAAAGAGATAATGCATCATGTAGCCGTCAAAAATATGTACCAATTTATATAATTAGATTTACAAAATGCTTACTTAATATAGCTCATGCAGTTCACATATTTGACACAGTATAGAATCTCATACAAATGCAAGATATTGGAGCGTGGAAATCAAATATAGTATGTTTAGAGAAGTATCAAATGTAGTCTGATCTACATACGTTTTTATGTAGATTATGAATCTGAAATCAATTTTTTTACTGTGAACAAACATAGCCTATATAATATCTGATTACCGACCAAAATGGTTATTGAGGACCATCATTGTGCACCAATTGTGGTCCCTACTAAAAATCGAGGGCCGTCTGTTTGCACATTGAGTAATATACCAAAAATGCAGAATTTCAAGGGCTTTGATAAGCTGGGTTCAATTTTTTGGGATGGAACCATTCGACAAGGTTAGAGGCAAATTATTATCAAAGCGACGACTCTATACCATAGACACCTCCTCTCTTGTGGAAGCGCAATCAATTATAAAACTTCATTGTAAAGACTACTGAAATAGCTCATTTTGTAGAAAATTCTTTTCTGCAGCTTTTGAGACCTCTCCCGACCAACAGTGATGAACAAAGGCAGAGAAAATCTCAAAATACCATCAAAATGTGAAAAGAGCCATTTTTGTAAAATTTTTATGGTCCAACCACAAAAAATTGACCATTGTGATCTTCGGCATTTTCCACAAATACGTCAGAAAAATGTGATATTTTGGATTTATAGGTTTCTCTCTATGGTCTTTCGTTTGCGGTAAGAAAATTAAAAAAATAATTTAGCGGCGGCTGGCCCTATATGAGCTTGGTCGGTGTTCTGGCAGAGCCTTTCTTAAGCCGCTTACGGTCCTTTCATGCTCGAATTTCATATGACAAGTCAGCAGTCGCAATTGATAAGCACCGTTTGACATTCATGCTCTGTTGATGGTGGAAGTTCATCATGTTTACAAATTATCCAAAAGAATCCGTACCATTGCTGCTTCGTTTCAGAGCGATGAGAAGAGCAAGTATCATGGTAGATAGTGCCACCTTCGCTGTGTCACTAATTTTTCTTTTCATATCTTAACTAGGAAATGCATCTGTCTACTGAAAACTTGATCACTAACTTATTTTTTTGTGACTATTTCCCCTTAAATTCTCAGTTGCATTTGACTTTGGGTCCTGGAAAGAGACAATTTTTTATTCCCTTGATTTTTGATAATTGTGACGCTTTCTGATAGAAGGGATGTTAGTGTGGACGGTGTTACACTTTATTTCGTTTTTTCATATCATGAATCGCACTGCTTACATAGAAAGCATGTGCTTATATACCTATTGCGAAGAGAGGACAGACAATCAAGGTTACAATCAAGCGCGATACAATATTTGAAGGATACACAAGGACGAATCCGAAGGACATGACAACAACAATAGAAACTCAAGGACATAAAAGGTATTCTCGTGGGTTGTTCCAATAATCACTTTCATTCTTTTCAACTTCAAGCCCACGGAAAGGTTCTACGATCTAGTGCGTGAAACAAAGCTTCAACATCCAAATAAGAAATTCAAAAACTGAGTAGCCGTATTATTTGTATGTAGTAAAAGAATCATTAGAAGAACTCCTATTTTCCTTCGTGTCAAAGCCAAGTCAAATTCAGCTAAGGATTTAAGGATGAATAGCCATAAACAAGATAATTTAGTAATCAGATTTTAAAAGGAAAAAAATATTGCCCAGTTAAAATAAGGGATGATAAGCAATAACTCAGAGAAGCTAATACCAACCATCATAATATTTGCTCCGTTCCTAATTCTGAAATCAAACGGGAATGATGTGAATTCTTTTAGATAATTTGTACACATGAGCTCAAACGGTGCGTATCAATTGCGACTGCTGACTTGTCATATGAAA